GAGGAGGAGGAGGAGGAGGAGGAGGAGGAGGAGGAGGAGGAGGAGGAGGAGGAGGAGGAGGAGGAGGAAGAGGAGAAAGATTGTGGGGTCCTTGATGCTCTCTGAGCTTGGATGATTTCTTGCAGATGTTTCATGACCCAACTAGCTAACATCAGCAGAGCTAGAAGGGAGTGGGGAAGGAGGAGGAGGAGAAGGAAGAGGAAGAGGAGGAGGTGGAAGAAGATGACTGTGGGATCCTTGGTGCTCAGAGCTTGGTTTTCTTGCAGACATTTCATGATCCAAACTAGATAACAGGATGATTCTGTCACTGACACCCCACCGCAGATGATCTTAACATGGGCGTGTACTGCTAGTCCTCAACTTAGCTGTCTGGAGAATTCTACCAAAATATATTTTAATCTTCATGTTATCAATCTACCCTGGCAAGCTTCTATTTCATTACTTAAGGCAGACTATAAATTCTGTACTAAACTACTTGCTCAGCCTCTTAAATTAATTACAGGCGGAACGCTACCTCTGCATCAATCCAGATGTATGCCAAACCCAATAACATAGCGAGCGTAGATGGAGAGTTATTCTATGTAATATGGTTTTGTAAAAATAATTCAATTCTCCATTTCATATGATTTCTAGATACAGTGAGAGCCTGTGTGCGAAAGGATGATTTCTGGAAACAAACTATAAAAATAAAAAGGCAAATAAAAGCTAATAGACTATGTCAACATGTAGAGAAAATTTAATATAGCTGATATAGGATTATTACGGTGAGGGCTGTGCTTACAGGTAGTTCTCAACTTACAACAGTTCGTTTAGTGACCATTTGAAGTTACAATGGCACTGAAAAAAGTGATTTAAGACCATTTTTCACACGTACGTTCGTGGCAGCATCCCTGTGGCCACATGATCAAAATTCAGATGTTTGGCAACTGACTCATATTTATGACGGTTGCAGTGTCCCATTAGGGGGGGTCACATAATCCCCTTTCGCGACCTTCCGACAAACAAAGTCAATTAGGAAGCCAGATTCACTTAATGACCATGTTACTAACTTAAGAATTGCAATGATTCCTTTAACAACTGTGGCAAGAAAAGTCATAAAATGGGCAGAGGTGGGGTTCCAATTTTTTAACAACCGGTTCTGTAGGCGTGGCCAGGAAGGCAAAAAAACGGAGACCGGGGGGAGGGGGCACGCTCAGTTTTGGAGCCTTCTGGGCCTCAGGGAAGCCTCCTTTGGGGAGGCGTTTTGCTCCCAGGAAGCTTCCCTGGGGCCTAGAAGGCAAAAAATGGAGTGCGAGTGGTGGAGGTGGGGGCAGGTGGGTTTTTTTTGCTGTACTCCCCCTCGTTCTGTTTTTTGCCTTCCTGGGCCTCAGGGAAGCCTCCTGGGCGAAGCAGTAAGACAGCGAAGGAGATCCTGGCACATCAGAATGACTATTAGCTGATCATCGGAACAGCTGATCGTTGGGGGGGGAAAGAAATACCCTAAGGAGTGACTTAGCAGGGAAGAATGCTTTCAGCGATATCGGGCATGTGCGCGATGTTGCGCATGCCCAATAAGGACTGACTGGGAGGGGCGGGGCAGGTAGAGAGGGGTGGGGCTAGCCAGAGGCATGATTTGCCGGTTCTCCAAACTGCGCAGAATCATAACAACCGGTTCTATAGAACCGGCATGAACCAGTAGAATCCCACACCTGAAAATGGGATAAAACTAACTTAACAAATAACACACTTAGCAATGGAAATTTGGGGTTCACTTGTAGTTGCCGGTTCTCCGAACTGTGCAGAATCATAACCACCGGTTCTATAGAACCGGCATGAACCGGTAGAATTCCATCCCTGAAAATGGGATAAAACTAACTTAACAAATAACACACTTAGCAATGGAAATTTGGGGTTCACTTGTAGTTGTAAATTGAGGACCACCTGTATAATATATTTAAAGATACACACACACACACATAAAATCAGTGTACACACCCAAAACACTTCGCTATCTCAGTTGTGCATTCCTCAAAAAAAAAAAAAAAAAGCAAAGAGGAAAATGAGAAAAGAACAAAGACAGAAGAAAAAGAATATTTTTTTTGTTTTGGTATCAGAGCTATCCCTGACAACAAGGAGAAACACCTGAAGACTTCATTTGGTCTCTCTCACCAATTGTCCAATTCTGATTTTCAAAGATTTTCAATCTTTTCATTGCACAGGTACACCTACAACCACAATGGAGCCCACCCATTGCAGTCCTAAGTCATGATGGTCATAATTCACAAGTTAGTCACGTAACCAACCCGACTTTACGACGTTTTTTTTAAAAGGCAAAGGTGGAAATCGTAAGTGCGAATGCCATGGATGTAAGAGATGGATTTGGACTAACTAAACTGTTGTAAAATGTAGTCATGTGGGGTCGAAGGCTGCAAATGGCCACAAGGGGCATTGTTTGTCAACTCATAAAACATTTCTATGGTCTTTTTAGAGTGGCCAACAGAAAGGGAGTGGGGAGCAGTGCGGCAGCTTGGAAACCAAAAGTGCATTCCATAAATGTTTTCAAAGATAGTAACTAGGTGACGGAAGTTTCTGCTGTGCAAAATTCTAACAGGAGAGCATGATTGATGACTCCTGGCTATGGAGGTGTCCCGTTGGAGGATATGAATTATGACACACCCAGAGGAGTACGGGGAAACCAAGGTCAAGGGTGACAATGAATGATGTGCTTCAGAGTCGGCTACACTCAGGCAGTGCCAGACATGTTAACTCCCAATAAATCCTCTTTTTAAGTTTTCGAAGTTTGGCTCGAGACTCATTATTTAAATGGAGAGTAACTGCCGGAATCCTGACATTGTTGCTGTTGAGTGACCAAAGTTCAGTCATATGACTGCAGAGGGCCCCTCACTGGGTCGTAAGCAACTTGAAGGTAGGTCTGTTGTAACTCTGAATGACTGCTCAGTGACTGGTCGTGTAAGTCAAGGTGTAAGGCATCCAGAAAGTATCCATGACTAATCATTAGACAAGGGTCTTGTAGGGTTGGTTAAGAAGACCCAACCCTTCTGGGGTGCTCACCTGCTCCCTTGGTCACGACCGGTTTCGGCTTGCTCCGGGCCCCGTCCCCTTTCATGGTGTAGGCAGCTACTGTGACCGAGTAGGTGGTCTCTGGCTGAAGTCCAGAAATGACCATTTCCTGAGGAGTTAAAGCAAAGAATTAAAACAAAAAACCATTCCTTCCTTCCTTCCTTCCTCTTTCTTTCTTTCCTTCCTTTCTTTCCTCCCACCCATCCTTCCCTTTCTTTCTTTCTTTCCTTCCTTCCTTTCTTTCCTCCCACCCACCCACCCTTCTTTCCTTTTCTTTCTTTCTTTCTTTCTTTCTTTCTTTCTTTCTTTCTTTCTTTCTTTCTTTCTTTCTTTCTTTCTTTCTTTCCTTCCTTCCTTCCTTCCTTCCTTCCTTCCTTTCCTTTCCTTTCCTTTCCTTTTCCTTCCCTTTGGAAAAATAATTGGGGCCCAGCATGCAAGACACAGCACAAAGCAATCCTTGACACATCGCATCACATCACATCACATCACAAGGAAACAGGGTTGGATGGGGAGGGAAACCTGACATTCGCCATACCAAACCCACAACTTGCAATGGAATAAATCCCGTGTTTTAAACCGAAAGCTTTGACGAGGGAAGGGGCTCCATTCTTTCTCGTCTTCACAGAAAAGGGTCTTGTCGATGGGACTTTTGTTGGTTCCTCAGAGGAACTCAGAACTCCAAAGGGGGGGGAAAAAAATTACTGTTCTCCACTGTATTGACCACAGAAGAACAGAGTTGGAAGGGGCCCCGGAGGCCTTCTAGTCCAACCCCCTGCTGAAGCAGGAAACCCTATACCATTCCAGACAAATGGCTGTCCAATCTCTGCTTGAGGGCTCACAAATTCTGGATGCCAGCCATTCCAGTGAGTGATTGTTCTCACTTTCAGGACCTCTCCTTTCTGTGACAGCCCGTCAGATATTGAAACACCGCTACCCTGTCTCCTCTGGTCTTTCTTTTCATTAAACTAGACCTACCCAGTTCCTTCAACTGTTCTTCATGTGTTTTAGCCTCCAGTCCCCTAATCATCTTTGCTGCTCTTCTCTGCACCCTTTTCTAGAGTCTCGACATCATTTTTTACATCTGTTTGTAAACTCTTCTTTCTTGCTTCATTTTGTAGGGAGAGAATGAAAAATACCAAGAGCTTTGCTTCTAGTTTCTATAGCACAAAAACCAGCTGCTTGAGAGAATAATAAGCCCAAAGGATGCATTTCCTGCAGGTCACAGCAGCTAGGTTTGCACAAAGGACACTTATCTTGTTTTTAACCCTCGTGTCTTAACCTGGTTTAGCGGAGTTTCCAGTGTCAAGTATTAAGCTGCTTTAACGGGATCTGCATAAGGCCACACTGATGTTGGTTGAACCATCACTTAAGTTAGTTTAACATGATCCGCTTCTTTGCAAACTTACATTGATCTATTCGTCACCTCTTAAACTACTTTAACAGGGTTGGAACAAAGGCACATGCTGGTTTAACCTTCACCACTTAACTCAGTTTAACAGGCTCTGCATCTCTGCACACTCATGTTGGTTTAACCCTAATTTCTAAAGCTGGGTTAACAGGATCTGCATCTCTGCACACCTATGTTGGCTTAACTCTAATTTCTAAAGCTGGTTTTAACAGGGTTTGCATTTCTGTAAACTTTAACTCTCATTTAAGCTAAGTTAACATGGCCTGCATCTCTGCACATTTATGTTAGTCGAATCGTCACCTCTTAAACTAGTTTAACAGGCTCTGAACAAGGGCACACTTATGCTAGTCCAGGGGTGGGCTACACATTTTTATAGCAAGGGGCTCTCTGCCCTAATGACTGGCTGGGTGGGCGTGGCTGGGTGGTCATGTGATAGGGTGGGTGTGGCCGGGTGGTCATGTGACTGGGTGGGTGTGGCCAACTTGATGTCGCTTCTTTGCCCTAATTGCCTAAAAAAAGATAATATACTAAAAAGTTGTGCGTTTAATACTTAATTTTGTGCGTTTAATACTTAAATAAAAGACTGGGTTAATGAAACCAGGCTTACTAGCAGTGACTGTGAGAGGGATCTTGGAGTCTTAGTGGAGTATCTGATGAGTTACGTGATTCTTATTATTGGGGAATTAATCCCCTCGAAGGCTAGTGGCTATGTGATCTGATTTTCTCAATGGCTTTTCCTCGCTAGCAAGCGCTGAGTGGATCGTTTATCTAGCTTGCCACACTTTTACGAGGTGTGAAATGCTCTTGGCTGAATGCCCAGAAGTTCTATTAAGCTTACGAAGAGCTTTCCCTTGCTGCTTGTCTTTCTGAAGTTATTGGGGACTCTCCAAGCCCCGCAGAGTCTTAGCTACGCCCCGCGAGCCCCCGGCAGCCCACCCGTCTAGTCTAACCCTCACCTCTAGTTGAACAGGCTTCCGCACCTCTGCACCTTCAGGCTGGCTTCACCCTCATTCTTCCATCCCTAGGTGGACTTCTGCGCCCCACTCCACCCAGATTCCATGCCAAGAAACTAACCCGACATTCGGAGAGGCTGAAGCACACCAAGCCACACGAAACTTAACAGGGGAGGGAAGGCGGGGAGGAAGGTTGGGGAGAAAGGGAGATACTCAACACCATGCTATCACTAACAACAGGGAAGGGAGGCCAAGAAGAGATCGTCACAACGGAAGCAGTTTACTTACGTATTCGGCAGTATCGTCTGTCTCCCACTGAACAAAAGAAGGTAGGCAGGTGAGGATGAAAAGGGGAAAGAGAAAGAAAAGTGAGGTGATGTGGGGAGCACGGGGTGGGGGGGTGGGGGGGCTGCCTGGGGAGAGAAAGGCCAGTGTTAGGAAGCCTCCCCTGAAGTTGCTGGGGCAAACGGGGGGGGGGGGGCGGGAAAGATGGGGGGGGTGGGTAAGAAGGAGTGGTTGTGGGGAGGGGGGGGGGGGGGGGGGGGCCGGCGCAGCTGAACTGGGCCGGAGGGAGTGCCATTTTCGGAACGACAGGTGAGCCCTTGACTGACAGCGATTCATTTAGTGACCCTTCGAAGTTGCAAACGGACAGCGCAAGCCTCATGAATACACCCGGGCTGCCAAAGTGGGCAAAGTTTGATCCGTTGAGCACGGGGATTGAAAAAAAAAAACCAACAAAACGATCCTAACTTGCTTTCCACCCCCCGCCGCCGTGTCGTCGTAACTTTGAACTGCGGTTGTCAAGTCGAGCAGCGCCTGTAAGCGTTTTCCCATTCTTGCCTGTAATTCCTTCTTCAGCCACGGGCTGTTGGATCCGATTGCCTTTTGAAACCTGGAGAAAGTCTTCCTTTGGGTCAATTTTTTGGGTGGGGGTGTGTGTTGTGTGTCAAAAAAGTGCTTCCTGACGGCCATGAGGCTTTTTTTGTCATGAGGACTAGAATCTTTCTCCCTAGGGCAGAGATGCAGTTAAATCCTTGGCTCTGATGCCTAAAACATCAAGGCTTGGCACTTCCCAGGTAGAATCGGAAACGGGCTTCTACCTTATAAATAATTGGCATCGGATCATTACTGGCAGTCCTCATTTAACGACCATTCATTTAGCGGCCGTTCTAAAGCTATGGACATGATGATGGGAAAAAAAGAGACTTATGACCGGTCCTCACACTTACGACCATCACAATACCCTGAGGTCACCTAATCACAATCTGGGCACTTGCCAAGCAGCCTGTCTTTCTGACGGTCGTGATCCTCATTTGACGACCTTCCCAGACAGCTTTCCGTCATGTAAAATCGATGGAGAAGCCGTCAGGGAAGCGATGTGTTGTGACCTGTCAGCCGCCAGTAGCCGAATTAGAGGAGGCAGCGGCTTGGCCGTCAGGGTCAGCATCAAGGTAACCGGAGGTTCCCAGGGAGAAGAGGGAATGGAATTGGCAGAGAGAGAAGGTGTGTGTGTGTGTGTGGGCGGAGCCTGGGCCATCTGTCAGTCCTCAGATGGAGGGTCAACAGCCCCCAGGTCTGGAGGTGGCTGATGAGGAAGAGGAGGAACAGCCGAGTCCAGTGCCTGACACACAGATGCGCAGAAGGCAGAGGAGAGGAGAGCAGTGGAGATCTATGGGCCGGCCCTTGGGACCGAAGAGACACTGCGGCTACTGAAGCCCCACCCTAGCTCCGGGGATAAAAGGCAGGGGACGGAGATGAACCGGTGTGGCAGACTTCATCTCCTGGCCGGTCAGCTACTGATACCCCGCACTTCCGAATCCTGCCTGGAAATTATCGGAATTCTTCTTGGAATCCACAGCACCTTCTGAGTGTGCGTTGTGTGTGTGCATCTGCTGCTGGAAGAAAGGGAACACACCTTCCTATGACTTCCTTTGCACAACTGTGGGAAGACGAGAGAGAGTTTTGGGACTGGTGTGTTGGGCCAGTTAAAGGGGGAAAGGGAGCGAGCGTCCACTTTCCACAGGACTTCGTAGCCTGCTGTGAGAGGGCGGATGCTGGCGCTCCTCACAACAGGAACATTTCGTTAACTACAAAGGGCCTGTCGTGTGTTGGGAGCTGGGTCAGAACACGATGCCTCGCTGATTCACTTAACAACCACGGCAAAAAAAAACAAAACCCTCATGAAATCGGGGGCAGCCGTGCGATGCCTGACATAATATCCGCACTGCTTAACAACATATTTCCAGGTCCCTATTGTGGTCGTAAGTCGAGGATTACCTCTAGAACTGAGCGAATGGACGAGACTATCCTCTCTTTAATATTCACCAAAATATTGTTGCTCGATGCACGAAGGGAAGAGAGGGTGAGTGGAAAAATCAGGCAGTTTTGGAATGTTGACACAGGTAGTCCTCAAATTTTGACCACAATGGAGCCCAACCTTTCTGTTGCTAAGTGAGACATTTGTTCAGTGAGCTTTGTCCCATTTTACGATCTTTCCTGTTCAGTGAATCACTGCGGTTAAAGTATTGTTGTTGTCCTAATTCTTGTTAAGTTACGAAAACGGTTGTTAAGTGAATCCGGCTTCCCCGTGGTCAGAAGGTCACAAAAGGGGAACATGGGACCCCGGGACCTAGCAACGGTCATAAGTATGAATCAGCTGCCAACCGTCTGAATTTTGATCGTGTGATATATGGGGATGCCTACAAGGGTCGTAACGGTGAAAAGTGGTCGTAAGCAGTGGTAGGATTCAACCGGTGTAACAACCGGTTCGGTGAGCGGATGCATTTCGTGGGAGGGGACCAACTGATCACTGGAACTACCCATTTGCCCGAATCATTCTGTACCGGCTACCTGGTTGTAAGTCCCTTTTTTTCAGTGTAACTTTGAACAGTCACTAAGTGAACCGCTGTAAGTCAAGGACCACCTGTAATAAGGACGGAGGGAAACTCAGGTTTTTTTTAAGATCCCTGCTGTAAGTCACAAGTTGACTCGGGCACCGAAAAGAGGAGGAGGAGGAAGAGGAGAAAAAGGAAGCGCCCATTGTTAATAAGCTGTGAGGTTGTCTTGGGTTCGAATTCAGGCACAAGAAGTGCCTTGCCTCCCAAAAGAAGAGATACCCCCCCACCCCTGTTCTCCCCTGCCCTCCTCACCTGAGCATCAGCCAACATGACATCCTTGATCTGGGGCAGCCCACTGGCTTCGCCGTTCTCCATGCGCACGTAATGCACTTGGTAGCCACGTATCTGTCCGTGCTGCCGGTTCGGCACCGGGGAGCGCCAGAAGACCTGGATGGCCGTTGAATTCAGGACTTCCACCTCCACCTTACGAGGTGGGGCGCTGGGTACTGGAAAGGGAGGAGGACGCGAGAGAAGAGGGAAAGGGGAGAGAGGAAGGAAAAAGGGTTGGGACTTTAAGAGGAGGAATTGGTCGTGGAAGGCGGCCAGTGAAAGCGTGTCTGGCTTTTCGGGCGGACCGGAAAATAGCAATAGCACTTAGACTTATATACCGCTTTATGGTGCTTTACAGCCCTCTCTAATCGGTTTATAGCCTCTTGCCCCTAACAATTTGGGTCCTCATTTTACTGACCTCGGAAGGATGGAAGGCTAAGTCAACCTTGAGCCGGTCAGGATTGAACTGATGGCAGTGGGCAGTCAGCCTGCAAAACTGCATTCTCACCATTGGGCCACCAGAGTCAATCAGTCCTTCCTTCCTTCCTTCCTTCCTTCCTTCCTTCCTTCCTTCCTTCCTTCCTTCCTTCCTT